TAATATCCTTTATAGCTTTTTTTTTAAGTAGTACATTTTTTTTTTGTTTTTTTTTTTCATCTAGGATGCAACCGAAGATGGCGTCTTCATTGCCATGTCCTCTAAGTGTTCCTATTCTAGAGCTGTCCCTGCTCTTCTCCAGTTCAGTGACAGCTGTTTGCAGAATACCCTCAATTTGGATTTGCCTGATTGCCCAGTCCCCTAATTTAGAGGGCACATCTGGTTCTCTGATGGAAGGATGATGGGGGCCTGGGATATCCATGCAAACATTATTATGCGGGGAGACGATCTGTCATTTTTAAAATACCTTCAGGTTCCCCTGTTGTTTCGAATAACTTAGAATGTGTCCGGTGACAAATATTATACCCCAAACTGTATTATTTTGTCCCTGTGTTTTATATTATTAGTACTGTCTAAGATTTTCCTGGATAACAACTTAACACATTCTTCCAGTGCTTGTGGAAATACGACGGTGCAGGGGAGAAAGGTCTGGGAAGGGCTCTTTAAAAGGAGAAGGTCACTTGAAAGAATGACAAAAACTTAGCTCTTAAAACTAGAGTTGAGTGTTGACTCAATCTCTTTAGTACTTTGTCCAAATGTCTCATTTTCCTAATAAATGAATAAAGAAATGGGTAAGTGGCTCCCTACTCTGTAAAGAAATCATTTATTCCCAAATAGCTGGAAGATTTGCCTACCCAACACTCTTCCTAACTTTTCAATTTTTTCATTTTATTGTCATCAAAACCTCTATCATTCCATTTATTCTTTCTGATAATTGTGAGTCAACCTGTTTTTGCACTGGATTGGAGTAGTCTATAAAAGTGAGTTTAAAAAATACAAAATCTTCAGTTCTTGTTTGCAAGGTTAATACCCGGTAAAAGTACATTTTCCTCTGGGTTTTTGGAAATACTGGCTAAAAAGTCCCAGATTCCCATGGCTGTTACAATAAACTTTCTATTGAAATCTATTAAACTTGATACTGAACATGACCATCTCTAGAAGGTGAGCCAAGATTTAGGTTACTCTTGCCCCAAGCCAGTTCTGAGGACTACCCCTTCTCCTCACATCAGAGTACATGCATACGGGGAGTCTGTCGGATCTGTCCCTCCATTCCTCTGGATGGTGACAGTAAGAAAGTGCTGGAGTTGTGACTTGTTCTTTGTCCCAACACCAAGAGAAGTTACTATTCTGTATTAGCAGATTAAACTTACATAGTTTTGTGTTCCTTTATGCATTCTTAAATCAGGGAGTCATCTGTACCTAGGATCGCAAGTAGTAGATTTAAACAAAACCATTATCCTTTATGTCTACTCTTGACAATTTTAGGGAATGTCACTGCTCTCTTTACTAGAAGCTTTAAAACATCCATTGCAAGGAAGTCAGGACCACGAGGGGTTGGTCCACCCCCTGAGACAGTGTGCTTGAGCTAATGGGAGCTCACCAAATCAAGCTGGACTGGGACTGAATGAGCATGGGATCAAACTGGACCCTCTGAATGTGGTTGACAATTGGAGCAGACTGAGAAGCCAATGATCTACTGCTGTTTGGAAAGAATATCAAAATGTTTTTAACTCTGATTGCTTTGACTTTATCCCATGGACTCACGGTGATCCTTTCCATTCTGTCTCCTAAACATCTGACCTCACTGCTTCCCAGAGCCTCACAGTGCAGCTTCTGTGTGATGGCGTCGCTCCCCACCCTCTGCAGTGTGCTGCCCATAATCCTCGCTGGAGCAAGGAATGCAACACGGGCAGCTAAGGAGGGGAGGCCAGTGTCTAGGGAGTGCAACATATGAAACTTCAACTGTAGCAATGATTTCTGCCTCTTAAGCCTTCGCATTAGACTAAGCATTACATAGCTCCACTGAAAGTTCTCTTTCTCTAGTATAGCTGAGGTTTTAAGTTTCTGGATTTATTATGGCGCCCAGTAGCAAAGCTGGAGTCAAGTGTTTTCAAGGCTTCCATTCGAAATTTTTTTTTGCAGAGTTTATTGCTTGGCTGTTTCAAATTATACAAGAGAAAGTTGGCACACAGGTTGTTGAGCTGGGTTACTTTTTTCAACATAAAGTCTAATTTATTTCAGATTGTTTTTAATCTAGAGAGGAGCCAACAACTTTTCTCATAGTTTTAGAAGATCCAATCATAACTCAAAATCTTATCTATAAAAAGAGAAAGCAAAAGAAAATCACTGCATTCTCTGACTTAACTGTTTACAGTTTTTCAAAATCCTTGTTGAAATTTTGAGAAATGGATTTTTACAAGACGTTAATTAGAACTCTTAATATCTGTCTGCAGATTATTTTACTATGCATAATGCAGCCCGTACAAATGGTTGCCCAGCTGTCAGAGTCCGTCTGAATGTTGTATTGTGCATAGTTCATTCCGTGAGAACAGCACCATCCTGAAGACTTGGTAAAGTCTATGTAAAGGGCAGTGTACTGTGTAGAGGCCTCAGGGAACATTGCTGGTGCATTGCTCCTACATCTCTTCCTCAAAGGAAGCCAACCCTAGGCTTTGTTCACAGACATATGGGTCTAGGACTGGCTGCTTAGTGATGTCAGTTGTTCCCCCTCACTTCTAACATCCTTAGGGGCCTTTTGTGACATCTCTTTCCTGTCACTCCACTCTTACTCTTTCCCCAGAGTTTGTCTATGTAAAAATGTTGACTTGTTTATCAGGTCTAAGGTGGTTTGGTTGTACATCATGAACACCATGCCACAGATATCATGGTGATAATTTTAATGTGGGTGTACTTTATATCTCTGACCAGCACTTGTGACAAATTAATATCTTCAGATTATTGGCATCAGAAAATATGTAGTCATAGTAATCAGAATACCTACTACCTGCCAAGCCCTCGCGTGGGATTGAGGTTTTGCATAGTCTAGAATAGCTGTGCTCCGTGGTAAACTGACTTTGTACTTAACATGCCATGGTATTATTCTTGATATCAAATACAGTTGTGTTCATGTCCAGTGTTGGGCGTCATTGGTATAAAACACTCTGCTTCTTCCCAATATGTTGGAGTCCATACCCCCAAAGCGTTCAGGGCAATGCTCAGTAGAACTCTTTCAGCAGAATACTACAGTGTTTAAAGCACTTGCTCTCCTTTGCAATACAAAGAAAATTCAGCATCAAATTTTGTGAAGCTGTATGACTGAACTGACTGTTGAGATTTAGTTGTTTGTTATTAATATTAAACAACAGTTAATTTTAAAATATAATTGATTCTTCTTGGAAATTTTGTTTTAAAACCAAATTTGGATTTGATCCTTAGCACTTTCCCTACCCCAGTAAAAAGAGCATAAAACTGAGAAGGGGTCTAAAGAGATGGCTCAGCAGTTAAGAACACTGGCCGTTCTTCCAGAGGACCTGGTCTCCAGTCCCAGGACCTATACTGCAACTCATAACCATCTGTGACTTCAGTCCCAGGATGTGTGAAGCCTCCTGCCCTCTGAGGGCACCAGGCCCACACCTGGTGCACAGGCATACATAACAGCCAGATCCCCATAATACAAGATTGTTGTTTAAATTATTTTTAAGAAAGATTAAGACAATAGAAAATATAACAAAGAATTTGTATTTTTGAGTCCCTTTCTGTCCAGTATCAGTAGATGCTACACATTATTGAGTGGTTAAACCAAGTAATTCTGGGGGAAATAAGTAAATTGTATTTAGATTTCAAATGTTTTTTCATATTTTGAATGAAACCAATTTTGAATATTTTCTTTATTCTTTATTTAAAATATATTTTTCTTCATATTGCATTTTAGTGAAAAAATGTAACAACAAGGAAATAGCAATAAGCACACTGTTGAATCTGTGCTTAGAGCTGCTAGATAACTTGTTTGAGACACATAATTATTTTAACATTGTGTTAAGACTGTGCCCTGGGAAAGATCCAAGCTCTTGGACTTGTTTATCTTCTGTGTGAGGACAACTAACTGTGCAATGCCAAAATACAATGAACTTTCAAATATCAAAGAGGAAAACTGAGTATTTCAAGTCCTCAGCTGGCTTACAGATGTGTGAGCTTTGTAGTGCATTTGCTGGTTCCATTGGGCCTTGTGACAATGTTTCCAATATGTGGATGCTAGGTAAGCCTTAGAAGTCAAATTACTTAGTTTAAATGCTGAAATAATTTTCTGAATTTAAATTTTTTTACCTTTATATTTTTTAAAGTGAAGTCTTAAAATCAAGGCTTCACAATTAAAAAAAAAAAGTTTAAATGAGGCATTAAATTAGGGAACTTTTTTCTGTCGGGAAAGTAAATGCCTTTTGAGAACAGGTATTCATTTAGATCTGTGATTAACCTTTAACAAGATCTTCCTGTTAAATTCTACATTTGCTTTAATCTCAGTAGGAAAAATACAAACTAGTATTGCAGCATATAAGGTTTCTATATACCCTGTGGACATCAAATAATCTCTTACAGCTAAGGCACATCTGCAACGTATTTAAACGCCAGCTTCGGGCATTATTAGTAGAAAATGCTAAGTCACTTTTTTTTGGAAATATTTTTGAAAAGTTGAAACTCCAAGAGGAAACTCTAATAAATGACAATCTTGTGATACTGTGTGTGCGGAGGGAGTGGTGGGGAGATAAATGACGGTGCTGCCTCTTCTGCACACAAGGAACCTAGCGTGGAGTCCGTTTTGGAAGCATAGAGTTTGCTGGGAGACAATGCTGGCTGAAAATGGATGGTTTTATCCAGTTTTTCAGACCATCCTAAAATAGCTGTCATTCTATACTGTCAGCTTGATGAAGCTAACATTGCCATCAAGTTTGGAACTCCTTTCAGATTCAGAGGGTCTGTTTATACACCTTCCAGAATGGATATTGACTGGTTTTAATCATCTACCATAACTTATAATAATATAAAATTTTAGACGACTTATTTATACACAAGTAATTCAACCATAGGTATGTGTTTGTGTTATTGTTGTTGGTTTCCTTTTAACTTGTATTCGTTTTTTTCTTTTTCTTAAACAAACTTTGAAGGTCAAATATTCGAGACAATGTAGAGCTGATTAAACTCCATAAACAGCTAGTGGAGAAAAGCAATGCTCTTTCAGTCATAGAAGGAAAATTTATTCAGCTTCAAGAGGTACTGTGACTATTTATTTTATTCACAGATGAGAAGGATTCAAAAATAGTATTCAAATTGTACTTTTAATAATGGTCATAACGCTAAATCTTTATTTTAATATGTGCTTTATTAAATGTGTATAATTCTCTTTGTATATTGTTCTTAACAGTTACTCCCTAACTACTTAGGCTTTTTATAAATAGCTAAGTCATTTTGCCAAGTGCATCTGTCATAAATCCCCTCATGCCCTGAACATTCTTTTCATCTCCTTTTTCCTGAGCTCACATAATGGCCTGAAGTCCTGAAGATGTCTCAGCGCCTGCGTGCACATTCACTTTCACATGTGTGCAGCAAAGACCAGAGTAGCAAGCCGGTCAATAATTACATTCTGTCGAATCTTTCTTTGATGTGAACTTTTATTTTCTTTTTCTTTTTTTTTTTTCTTTTCTTTTTTTTTTTTTTTTTTTTTTTTTTTTTTTTTTTTTGTTTTTTTTTTTTTTTTTTTTTTTTTTTTTTTTTTTTTGTTTTTCGAGACAGGGTTTCTCTGTAGCTTTGGAGCCTCCTAAACTAACCAGACTGATCTCAAACTCCAAGAAACCCTCTGCCTCCCAAGTGCTGGAGTTAAAGGCGAGCCACCACCACCCGGCTTATTTTGTGTTTCTTGGTCACCACCATTACCAGAAAATATTTGAGTACCCATAATATCAGCTATCAGCATATTTATTTTAAACTTTGACCATTCAGTCTGATTTATTTAGGCTTCCCCAGCCTCGGGGTGGTTTTCAAGCAACTGTAGGTACACAGGGATATGCCCCCACAGAGCTACTGCTTATTGGCATTGCGTAATTAACAGAAGTCCTGCGATTAATGAACTCCAAAGCATTCCAGATGATCAGCATTTATATTAAGTCATGCTTTCTTTGAAGTACAGAGACAAGGAAAGCTGCCCATTGATGTAAAGTACAAGGTCATATCGTGGCTGCTTCACTGCTGAACTAAGTGGTTAAATACCTTTCAGACACGTTGAGTGACATCTTCCAGCCTACAGGAACCTCCTGCAGTGCCAAGTAGAACCACGTTCCATATAGAAGCACAGATTTGTAGGAGAAGAATCTGTTTGGGAATGGGAGTGGGAGTGTTAGACTGTCAGTGTATAGATAGGTCCCTCTGGACCAAAAGACATGTGGGACAAAGCAGCTTCAAAACTGCAGAATTAAGAGGGGAACTGAAAAATGGTTTTATGTTCCCCTACTTCTCTGACTATCTTGATTCCCATGTAACAGTGACCCCTGGTGTATTTGTTCATGTAACAAAATAACAAGTGCCTGCTACATTACAGGTACATCTTTTGGGAACTAGTGTAAGGAAAGGCTTGAGAGGTGGAGGCCAACAGCCTCAATGAAGTAGGGAGCTCAAAGGAAAGGATCTAAAGGCAGCCTGCTCCAATAACATAGCAACAGTGGAACTGATCTGAATCTTCCTAATATATCTTAAAGGCTAGATTTCTCGTAGGTGAGCTAAAAAGTCTTCACTAGGACTTACACAGGTGACTGTTTTAGGTTATGATCAAATGGTATCTACAAAATGCCTTTTTAATAATTAATAACCTGTTTTATTTAGTTTTAAAAGAATGTATTATTTAAGTATGTAAAATTGAATATAATCATGTTCATATATAAATTTTTTACAACTTAAAGATTTATAAATATGTTTGCAGAATTATAAAAATGTCCTTGTATTAAAATTAAAAGCTAACCATTCAAAATTGTTTACTTTGGTCTAATGGCAAATCATCCAGTTTCTGTGTCAGTGATGAGTGTTTTTTCGACCCATGCTGAAGCACTTTTAGACAGCATGTCAAACCACTATAACCCTAGTAAAAGGGGGAAAATTAATTGCTAAAACTAGTTTATATACTGGTCACTGTCACCAAGTCAAAGCCTGGGGACAGTAAAGGGGAGACAGTCTGTGTGAGCCTCTTCTTCCCTGTGTTACATCTCCAGTGTTTATGACCTGAGGAGTAAACTGTGCAATGTAAACGTCCAGGATAAAACCGTGCTAGACTCGCAATTAGTTATTCAGAGCAAATATTTAAAATGCTTGAGTGTTTTCTCTCTCTGTTTTGTAGAAGCAAAGAACGCTCAGGATCAGCCATGATGCCTTGATGGCAAACGGAGATGAGCTAAATATGCAGCTTAAGGACCAGCGCTTAAAGTGCTGCAGCCTGGAGAAGCAGCTGCAGTCGGCGAGGTTTGCAGAGAGAAGAGTGGAGGAGGTGAGCTCCAGGACAGTGGGGTCATTTTTGCATGAAAATTTCTCTGGAACTGTTTTGAAAAGTAAAAGAGAAACAGTTCAAAAAAATTTTTATGTCAAAGTCCTGAACTATATATTTGCTATTTTGAATGCAGAATAGAGTAGGTAGCACAGAATATGAATGGCGGGCTGAGCCTTCCAAACACCCGCAGATGTGCTGAGAGCCACTGTTTATCTAGGATTAACGAGCCTTGAGTGAAATGAAAAGTAAGGTGATATCGCATGGCCTAAGGAACGGAGCTTTCCTAAATACGACTTCTTAGTCCGTGAGACACAAGAATGGAATCAGAGGAATGACGTCCTCCTGAAGGGTGTTAGGCTCTACTGTGTCAGCAGTTCTGTAAAATACCTTCTTTCTGGGCGGTTGTTTGAAAACTTACCCTTCTATCACTGTTGCCACGTATGTCTCCCAACCAGCACAGTGTTTTTCTGTGTCTACTGGACGTATTCCTCAGGAGAGCAGAAATGGAGTAGGTGTTTACATTCTGCTCTGCACCAGGAGAATCTCCTCCTGTCTCTCACTGGCATCAAAAGAGAATGTCGAAAGTAGAGATGACTTTTAAGTTCTCTACTCAATAGCAAAAAAAGAAAAAAAGAGCACCTACAGAGCATATTTACTAATAAAACCCTAAGTACTACAGGATAGCAATCCACATTTTAGTCATAATGATCTAATAACTATGATACCTGATAGTTATATTTATTTCTGAAAATATTATTCATTAGGATAAAATAAGAAATATGCATTATTCTTATGACGTGCTACCATTTATAAATTCCAGGTAACAAGAGAAATTGTGTCTTTAAATAGTGATTAACAAACTTATTTGAATCATGAACTCAAAGAACAGTTAGTACTCATTTTTTACGGACCAATTAGAAATTAATACAAAATGAATATAGTGATGGAATTCATCGTGGGAGAAAGAAAAACTATTATGTTTCCAGGACCTTAAGAGAAAGCTCTTAACACATTTTTTATTGAGTTCTGACTCGTGTTGCCATAAAGTAGTGTATCCGTTTCTATTAAATTAAAACAGGAATATTAATTTCATGTTTATTTAACAACATGGAAGAAATCAACACTGAATTGAATGCAGGCACTGTATATGGTCTAGTCAGCAGCAGCATAGGAATCCAGACTGAACGAGTGGCTGTCCCCTCCTGGTCCTTATAGTGTGGTTTGATATGATAATCACTTATTGTATGACTTTGTTTTCAGAGACTAGTGTGTTGACTCTGAACCATGGAAACTCTTTGTAATTTTATTTTCATTTTAGCTGCAGGATAGAATTAATGATTTAGAAAAGGAGCGAGAACTTTTAAAGGAAAACTATGATAAACTTTATAACAGGTAAATCACAATTCTATGTGTTTCATTCTTTTTGAGCTCTCTTTAATAAAAGCATTTGTTGTCACAATATCTAATATTGATTTAAAAGCTAGCAACAGGCCATGGAAAGACATGTACTTACTTTGCAAAAGAAAAGTAAGCTTTTTAAATGCACTGGTAGCTGGTTCTTAACTGAGCTGTAGTATATCATCATGTGGAGAATCAGGCTGTTTTGCTGCTAGTAACAAGCACTGTCACTTGTTGAACAGAACCTACAGGCCAGTAGATGCCGTGCGGGATGGCTGCATCCATCCCTATCAATTCCTTGGAACACTGTAGAGTGTAGAATTCTACATGCTCAGACAAGGGGTGGAACAAGGCTGGAGTACCTTCGACAGATACCAGATGCTCTTGAAGAGTGTTAGTTAGAGTCAGGAGGCCTGAGAGGTTCCTGGAGCTTGCTTAAGTCTCTACTGGGTTCCCAGCGTCTTAGCAGAGTGAACGTGGTTGGGGAAGGGTTCTCCAGCAATATCTATGTTCCTTATAAAGAGAAACTCAGGCACCTCGGCCTCAGCTCAGGATGAATTTTGAAGAGCTACTTCACTTTCATTTCTTAATGTTTCATAATTACAGTCTTTTAGAAAATAACCCCCTCTGCTAATATTTAAAACACAATTCTACCCCATGGCTAAGTCTTATTAAATGATTCTGACTGTCTATCTTATATATGTCTGTGGAATTGTTACTGTCTTTTCAGTATGTGGGATGACGTGGAAGCTGAGTTAGCTGTTTGAATATGCTTTATCTGATATCCAACTTCTGCTTCATGTTGGTAATATACTGAAACCTAACAAAATAGTATCTGTGCTTTAAATATATCTTTTTTACCCTTTTGACTGAATGTTTTGCAGATTAATATACATTTTAAATTTTGAATTTTTAGTTCTGCAGAGTGTGTGGGGAATTTTATTTTGGTTTCCTTGTAAACATGACTGAAGTCTATATTAGTTATTATTGTAATGCTTTTTACCTTTTTTTCCCTCTCAGGTAGGGGTTAGCAACAGTAGGCTACCAGTTAAATATTCAGGGCCCTCTAGCAGGAGTAGCCTAGCTAAACATCTTTATGTGGAATTGCATAAAACTTCCTTCTAGACCATTTTGTTCCAGTCCCTTTCTAATTAGCTTGGCCTAAAAAAAATCTATTAAACCTCCTGGCTTATAGCTCCATCTCTAAAATATTGTGTGGATATTTACATTGATGTATCTATATGCCTTATGATCATATGTTTGAAATTTCAGATGTTGTACATATAGTACATTGCCCTTTTGTGAAAAGCGATGGTATCCTTGTCTTTTAAAAAGGAGGTAACCGAGAAGCCAGATAAACAAACTTGTGCAGAGTCACACGGCACTGCTGGGAGTTAGTGTGGAACTGAACCTAATTCTTTCTGCTCTAAAATTTGATTTATTTTTCCCCAGTGCACCACTGTCCCTGATTTTAATTGCATTTGAAAAGAATGTGTGTGAAAAGGAAGCATCCATGAAATAATGGACCTGTCATACATGCAGAGATTTTGATTGATATATACTTATCTTGAACATCTTGTAACTCTAAATAATTTAACGTGGTCTAAAAAAATTACAAAAAGTACCATTTGGCCATTACTTCTAAATTTCTACTTCTCTCCAACTTGAGAATTTACTAGACACACTTTCCTGGAATAAAAACATCAGACTTATCTGGGAATAAAACATAAATGGAATTTTGACAAGGTATATTTTTCTCATATTTACTTCATCACCATAAAACATTATCTTTCCATATTAGAAGATAATCTAAGAGTGTAAATCTGGTTTTGCAGGTTTTTGCTTTTTTTTTAATATTTTGGGCTAGCACTACATTTTTTTCCTCGTCACACGGAAAACAGTCTTCACTGTCCACTTACATGTAAATATTACATGAGGTGTGGAAGCAAATGGCTTAGTGAGCATCACAACGAAGTGCAAAAAAAATCAACGACTCCTAAGCCAAATTCCAACATGTACATATAATCATAAGTAGAATGTCAAAATTTTCTGATGGAATTTGTTATTATGTGTTCAGAAGCATAAAGAAACTGTGGACATGGCCATCATCCGTAGATTCTTGCAGCTTCTTTCTCTCATTACACTCTTATTCATCACTGCTGAAGTTAATGTTAATCAGAAACTACGCATGCTACTTGTTTGCTTAGTCATAATGATCACATGCTTTAAAAAGGAGAGCATGTGTTTGTTATTCCAAGTTGGCTGGTTTTCACGAGAAAAAAAAGATGATTTGCAGATTGCGTTCTCATCTTCCCCTTTTAAAATGAAATTTTGGAAGTGTTTATTACTTGACATGTGACATATTAGAGAATCATGTGGTAAGATAAAACCCTCGTGTTAGTACTTGGTATGAGACTTCTTTAATATGCTAAACATTTTTGATACAATGCCAAGAAATAAGAACTTTAAGAAATTTTCAGTTTTAAGATTCAGAATAACTTTGTGCAATTAAATCTTCCTGTTCAGTAAAAGAGAAACTTCATGCAGTAATATGGTAAGGCTGCGTTCCAATCCTGAATTTAGTGTAGTTTGGGTGCCAGGAACTAGTGGGTGTAGTAGGCCTTAAGCAACAATGTGCACATATAACCTGGGGAGGTTATTGGAATCCGGGTTCCACCACACTTCCTGAGCCTCTTATGCTGAGCACATGCACGCGCGCGCACACACACACACACACACACACACTCATTTCTGTGCCCAAAGCGCTACTACCTCTATCCACTGCCAAGTTTTCATCTTCAGGTTGGGTCCAAGACTCCTGTTGAAAGTGAGTTTAAGCTATTAATTTTTTGAGAGATGTTTATCTAATGGCTGTTTGTTTAAAAAAAATAGTTCATTTAGAGTTTGAGTGTTGTAGTGACCTTTCAAGAACCAAACAGATCAGGTTTTTATACTGTGAAACTGCTCAGATATGAAAGAGCATGGCTGCCCCTCCCAAAGACTCTGTTCTTTTCTACATGAGCTCTGACTGTATGCAGTACCTATGGGTTTCTTCATGGGAGAGGGGCTTATGCGCCCTCATTTCTCACATAAGGAACATGTTCTGGAACATTGGAGCAATGAAGTTTTCTGTGAGATAAAATATCTGCGAGTAGAGGGGAATTTTTAACTTTTATTTTGATCATATCATGTTTTAATCAAGGGTTGTTATTAACAGTATAATTGAGACCCAAGGCAGCCTGTAGGCATGCTAGTGACCACAGGCACCAACAACCAACATCTCTCCTGCAGGCTGTCACAGGCCACACCAGTGCAATGGGCAGAGACAGTCATCTTCCCTTCACTGCCACTGTTGGTATATACAAAAACATTTTCATGAATAAAAAGTTCTTAAACACTCTTCTCATATGCAGATTTAATCATGTATATGGCCCTTGCAAAGAAAATGGAGCCAGATGTGGTTCACCATTTATAGCTACACAGATGGCTCCAAGCATAAAGGAATATAGTAAATTCAAAAGGAATTCCTCATGAAACTCCAGTGGAATGCAGTCCTAAATTTAGAGGGAAGATAGCAGTGGGCTAAATTCAGATTGACTTATGCTGATTTACACTAGTATTTTGTGGGTTTGGAGAAACCAGGCTGCTAAATTGTTCTTAATTTAAACACACACAGCTTCTGATGTTCCTGCCAGATTAACTGCTGGTGATCTGCTGTGTGCACACTGTTGGAATACTACTGTTTCTAATTGCTGGCATCTCAGGGAATGGATGCTGTGCCTATTTCATCATGATAAGTTTTTTTCTGGGTGGTGCATGTTTTTAATGATAGAAGGCACACATACATACATGTACTATTCATGCATATGTATTAATTTGGCTAGACACAGAAATTATATACATTCATTTTAAGTGGATTTGTAAAGGAATATTTTTTAGTATTTAAGGTATATATGCTTTATTTAGATTCCATTTAAGTCTAGGTAATTCTACCTTTGACAAAAATTAGCTTAAGATATTAGCATATCAGTTTCTATGTTTTTTTTTAAGGATCCGTATGTGAAATGAGAACACTGATAGAGAATAGAGGAAAACAGATGTCATCTGTAGAGTGATGTCTAGAATTCCTTTTGTTTTTAAGGTGATATTATTTTAAATGCAATAAAAATATTCAAAATGTGAAATGAATACACAGTTTGTTTTTTAAACTATGTCTTCTACAGAAAGTATCTCTTGGAATAAAAGCTCAGGAGCAGCATCAGGGTCAATTTTCAACAGTACATTTCTTTTCCATTTACTTTGCCATTGGTATAAAAGCAGATTTTATAGATTTTTGTTTCATTTACTGAATTTAAAATAAGTAGAGGGGTCAAAGCTGTGGGTGATTACTCAGTCAAGTCAGGCTACTAAGATAATGGTTTTCTGCTGAAATGCAGATCAAGATCAGTTTTCCAAAGTCTGGCTCTCACCTGGAAAGCTGCAGGAACGTGGATTGCCAGGCTTTTCCTTTGCAATGTCCCTGAGTGTCAGCGAGGCAAGCGGCTGTAGCACCGGTGTGGACCGCGCTCAGGCCCCCTGGATGAGGAAATAGTTGATTTCTCCCTCTGTGTAGCGTCTAGTTACTCCTATCCTGTCCTTTCTTCTAGTGTGCTATGCCTTGATCACTAGCAGATTTAAACCCGAACTGAAACTGCTTTGGGCTGCGGGCTTGCAGATGTAGCTCAGTAGGTAGAGGGTTTGCACAAAGCCCTGGGTTCTATCCCCAGCGTCACACAAACCAGATGTGGGGGTGCACACCTGCAGTCTCAGCCCTGGAGAGGTAGAAGCCAGAAGGCCAGAAGTTCAAGGTCATTTTCAGGGACTTGGGAAGTTCAAGGCCAGCCTGTGCCAGAGACCCGGTCTCCAAAAAAACAAAAAATGTGCTACATTTTTAATAAGGAATCAATTACAATCCTGTCTTCATGATCTTAGTAGATTAGAGGCACTCACTTTATAATAATCTGTGTTAAAAGTAACATTATTTGTTCTTAGCCTATTGCTTTTGTCTTTTGTGTTAAACGGCCTTTGTACCACTTCTTAGTATCAGAATTACCACCTTGTGGTTCAGTATACCATCATTTATGTCTGTGTTATCACAGACTCCCAATTTCCTCAGAATTAAAGAGGAGGTGGAAAACGCTTTTCCTCAGTATTGGGTGAGTGGGCTTTGTAAGTGGGAGAGGACAGTCTCGCCTGTCAGTTGCTGAGGTTTGGAACCGTGGATTCTTCTGGAGTATGTACAGTATCTGAATTCCTTTACTAGTCCACAAAAGCTGCATGTTGCCAACTTTTCTGACTTTGGAGCTCTAAATTAAGGCCAGTTCCTTTGCTCATCCCACAAACTCTTTCATGTTCCCTAACCGCAGCCTGAGCAAGGCGCCTTGGTTTCAACAGCAGCAGAGCAGCATTGTTTACTTAATTCCTAAGACATGATGACAGTGGTCTCCGTGCCACTAAAAGCTTTCTCTTTATTATTTTCGGGTGAAGCTGATTTGCCAGCTCTCCCTGCATGTCACGTGTGTTTTGCAGTGCCTTCAGTGCTGCCCAGGAAGAACAGTGGAAGTTAAAGGAGCAGCAGATGAAAGTGCAGATTGCTCAGCTCGAAACTGCCCTAAAATCTGATCTAACAGACAAAACTGAAGTCCTTGACAAATTAAAGACTGAAAGAGGTACAGAGAAATAACCACCTGTTTACTTCTGCAGACATCTGATGCTTATACCTACTGTTTGCCAATCATCCTGCTGTCCTCTGGGAACGCAGCTTGTGTGTGTGTGTGTGTGTAATACAGCCAAACATATACATGCCAAAAGAACTTTTTTCTCATAGTCGCTTTAACCGAGATTGTCTTCATTAATTTAATATCCTTAAATTCTGAACTTCTCTTTGACAGAAAACAAGTATTTATTAAGCACCAGTATATGCTCAGTATTGTTGTAAGTTTTGAGGATACAGCAACTAAGACAAAGACTTGCCCACATAAGACATGGAGGCCAACAGTAGCTAGAGACGACTGTAATGGCTCAGGTAGTGGCAGTTACAGTGGGGAAAACCCAAAGTAGGGACAAATAAGAGAAATAGTTTCTGGCTGGTTTTGATAGATCAAACTGAACAATCTGATAGTGAGATGTTAAATCTATTCTCTTAACCAAAACACTTTGTCAGAATGTCCCTGTTAAAATAATAATCATTAAGCAGAATCATTAGGTCTTGTCTCCTAGAAATAAAATGTAATTAAAGATGTCTGGACTGTTGTACTGCACACAGACACATGCATTCCCAGTGCAAATAGTTAGAAAGCAGGGGTGGCAGATTTTTTTTTTTTACTCAAGCGTGGTACCTGTGTCTGAACCCATGAAATACACCTAGGAATGTAGTAATAAGCTTGGTCCTTTGGAACATTTGCAATTCAGTTACATGAGAATTTTAAAAGTTTAATATAGCCAGACATGGTGGCACATACCTGTAATCATTGCACTCAGGAGACCAAGACAGAAGAATTGTAAATTCCAGATCCCTTGGGCTACATAGTAAGACCCTGTGTTAACAACAACAAAAAGGCAAATATAGACTCAGTAAGAAAAAATGTATTTTTGGTTGTACTATTACCACAGGGTCACATTTTATTGACTAAATGGAAGAGAATTTTTCATGTTTAATGTTCCTAAAATTAGAGTGCATCCATAAGCAGAAACACCTTAAAACTGGCTAGACATGTTTTTTACATTTCAACAAGCCTGAAACAGGAACACATACTCGATGGAGTCTTTATTCCAGTGAAGCTCAGTAGTCAATATTTTCTACCACGTGCTCAAATTGACTGATATGTTAATTATGAGTATTTCTGGAGGACTGTTAATGGGACGACATGGTGACATGACTTCTTAGCGGTTTTCTTATCTTAAAGTCACTATTGAGTCTTACTGGAGTGCTGTGTCTTAATAGTTGCTCAGTAAGTACATGAAGTAGAGGTGCCCTATCGCCCCGTTCCATTTTCCAAAATAAATAAACTGCACATTCTTAAATGACAAGGAAATAAGGAGCAGCAAGATAGCCCAGCAGGTAAAAGCATCCTGCCACCAAGCCTTACAAACTGAGTTTGATCCCCCAAGTCACACATGGTAGGAGAGAGCTGCCTTCTGCATCTTGTCCTCTGACCTCACGCACACCATGGCCCCCGCATTTCCCCCACACATACACAATAAATAAATACATAATTAATTTTACAGAGAAAGGGAAATGAAATAAACCTATTTTATTTCTATTTTTTCTGCATTTTCTTAAAGATATCAAGAATTCCAACATTTTGTCTTCCACACATCTGAATTGATTCTCAAAGGGTAGAATCTTAATTTCTTTTTAAACTATTGTTTTTAATTTATTTGGAGAACTCTTATTATTAAGTATTGTAGTTGCTCAGATACTCTAATTTGCCTAGTCCACCCCCATCTTCTTTGCTGGTTCTTCCCTTTAAGGATTTTCTGAATTTTGAAAGTAATGCATGAACACATGAAAGAGGCCTAGGCCCTGTTGCAGCCCTCAAGTCAATCTTACTGATACTTACGGTTCTTGTGTTGGTGTATATGTGGATTTAGTTTTATAATATGCCCTTTTAGTCACTGAATTTTGAGTCAATATTCTGGTAGAAATTTAAACCCATGTCACCATCGTTGACAGTGCCTGTTACAGTTTCTCAGTGTAAGATATCCTGAAGATGACTCTGCAGTTGCTTATGATACATATTCAGGAAGTAATTTTTAACATCATAGGCCAAATCTTCCAACCTGAAAACCCTCCTTAACACATTAATATAATTATTTTCTAAGTAAAAGTTGCTGGATCTGTGATTTTCCAGTTATTTTCTTTGAAGGGTTTAAATTTACAAATCTAAGAATTTAAGTCTTTATAAAAATATTCAAATGAATCAAAGAAAATAAGTTAAAATATGAAGAAAAATATTCTAGATTTTAATTATTTGGGGGAAATAAACAAAAAATTTGTAATTATCTATTTAAGAAAGTCTTTGAATATGATGAAAGTTCCTTTCGTGGTTTTGAGATTTTGAGATGGTTTAATTTAACTGTGAACTCTGCTCACACATTTGCCTTCTCTTGTATCAAGTGTCCCTTGCCGAAGATGCTTCCCTGGCTTCTTGTAGTCATTCATCTAACCGGCAAGTTATTTTTAGAGAATATTCACCTCTTTATTCAAGGTACAAATTAGTTTCAGATTGTGTGAATATGTGGGGAAGGATATGTAAATGCAGTTTGCATTTGGTTAATGCTTAAATTAACTGCATGTGTTTAAGGGCTTGCTTTTGAACGTTCCTTTCTATCTTTAGCTGAAATGCATAATTCAGCATAATGCATATGGTTATATTGATCACAGCTGAAGATATTAGCACAAAGGAGCTCTGAAAATTGTTTAGTTGAATTGTTCTCTGCACTGTTATTAATGGCGTGCTGGAAGAATGTAAGTTTAAAGAGTGAAATGGTATCTCATTTGAATAAAATGCTGTTTAACTTAACCTGCTTTTTGTCAAGTCAGAAGGTAAGGCGGTTGTTTTTCATCTCTTGCAGAGTGTTTTGATTTTTCATATTATAATTCAGCAAGCCTGCTTCCTCTTTGAACTGTAGCCATTTTCGTACTTCTTAAAGACCCAAAACATATTCTAAATAAGCAGCTTGATAAAGAAAGACTCTAGTGTATAATTCTACATAAATTCTGTAAAGAGGTCAGCAGTGCTCAATGATGTTTCTTCATTAAGTTATTCTCGCACAAATGGCATTCTATTTTTAAAATATCAGTGAATGGGGACATAGCTGTCAAAACAAAAAAAGAGTAAAAGGATGGAAATGCTCGTATAATTTTATTTGTATCTCCTGATATATTCATAGCTGTACAGAATTGAAAGGATTAAAAAAAAAACTAGAGCATAGGAAAGATCACAGTGTACACTGTGTCCATGCTAAGAAGGAGCAGTGTGCCAGTGGACAGCGGTTCCCAACCTTCCTAATGCTGCGACCCTCTAATACAGTTCCTAATGTTGTTGTGAACCATAAAATTCTTTTCGTTGCTACTTTGTAACTGTTTTTGTTGGTACTTCATAACTATAATTTTGCTACTGTCATGAGTCATAATATAAATATCTCTGTTTTCCAATGGTCTTAGTTGACCCCTGTGAAGTTCGACCCCCAAGTTGAGAGCTGCTGCCTTTGTGCCTTAATTACATCTTACAGTTCCTGCTTGTGCAGACCACAGAGTGAATTCATCAGCACCTAGGGTTCCCCTCTCTCTCTTAGTTACCGTTTTTGTTGTTATTTTTCTTAGTCTGTCATTATACCATTCGCTGTTATTTTGTTATTCTCTGTCATAGTCCCTCTGGCTTCTAGTTGTTTTAACTGGATCAGTACAAGGACTACCACATTACCATTGTATCCCCCCACAAAAGTTTATTTTGTAAGAATTCATAATGATAATTAATGCTAATTTTTAGTTGAGAGACAAGTGCTTGGCTTATACCTTCAAACTTTTGAGATGTTTTTCACACTTTGAAATTCCTTTAGTTTACTGAATTTAAGCAATTTATACCATATAATAATATACAATAACCTTTAACTTTATATCCATATAATATAAGTGTTTATGTATTTAATAAAGTACCTCTGTATCTTTATATACCTGAGGATTTCCAGGAACTATATGATATTAAAGTCTTACCAAATTTAGTCCATTTCCTCTTAACTGTGTAATTTAACATTTTTACTGTGTGAAGTATTTATAGCTTAGGGAAACAAAGCCTTCAAAAAAGGCAGAGACATATTTCTATATAACATCCAGTCAAACTGCAGATGCATTCATGGGAAGAATTCTTGGCAAATGTGTTACTTAATTTTTTATTAACAAAAGGAAAGAAAATGTACAACTTGAATTGAATTTATTTGAATAAACAAAAATTGAGATAAAAAAGAAATTGAGAGAAACACTCTGGATGGCATGGTCTAGAAGTAGTCCACCAGGAGTCAGCAAAGCAGAGTAACTGCCCACCACAGTGAAGACGTGGGAGTACACTTAGGAACACAGTGCTAAAGAATGTAGTGCACGTGCCTGTGGCCATCAGTGGCTTTTCTGTTTAACGTGTCTACGTGTTTTTGCCTGCATGAGTTTCTGGATACCGTGTGCATGCAGTGCCTGCAGAGGCCAGAAGAGGGTACCAGATTCCCTTGAAATGGAGTTACAAGTGGTTATAAGGTGCCATGGGGGTGGCTGGAAATTGAACCCAGATCCTCTGGAAAAACCGCCACAGCTTGTAACTGCTGAGCCATCTTTCTAGCCCATGTCCTACTGATGGCAGGAACCGTGAGCTCAGAATACAGTTGAGTTATCATTGGTGCTGCTTCAAAATCTCTCCTGTTGGAACAGATTTGTTAGGGATATGGCTGATTAAGTTATGAATTTAGAGTTTATAAAATAAGTGATCTTGTTTTAATACAAAGACTTTATGCTAAGTGAGGAAAAGAAAATTCAAAGAAGTCAATCAGAACACTAAAAAACAAATTTTTTTTTGCATGTCTTTCAGGACCCTTAATAAGTAAGTAAAAATCATATATTTAGAAACGTATATTCTTAGGCATTTTAAGTAGAATGCTCCTTTGAAGTTCCAGAAACCGCAGTTTCCTAGTATTCGTGCGGGGAACTGAAGTCTTAAGTTTCTGATAACCAAGTGAGTCATGTGGCGGGCACATGATGGTGTCCACTGGGTCCTCGGCCGCTGCTGCCTTCACCTAAGGGGCAGGCTGCTGTCTCCTCTGGCCTGAATGGCACTAGAGCCAGCTTGGTGTGTGTGTGTGTAGCCGAATTTAAATTTCTCTAAAGGTGTTCTTCAACACAGTTCTCACTTACCTTTCTAATCGTGCTGACTTTGTTTTTAAGACCAAAATGAGAAGCTCATGCAAGAGAACAGAGAGCTCCAGCTGCAGTGTCTGCAGCAGAGGCAGCAGCTGGATGAGCTGAAAAGCCGCATGAGGTTTTTCAACCAGGTGACTCTTTCCCTTCTTCAGTGTGCGTTGTGTGTGTGTGTGTGTGTGTGTGTGTGTGTGTGTGTGTGTTTGAAGCACAGAAAGAAACAGTGCACAGCAAAGCAAGAAACATAGATGTGTCCTTTGGTTTATTAGCTAGCATACCTGGTTGTTTATGTTCTGTGGGGCTGTTCTGAGTAGCTGAAATATCCTGAGTACTAGGTTTCTTAAGTTCATGGCCTTCGGGTTCCTAGTCAGTCAGTCTCATGGGAATCTGTGCTGGAAGCTAACCCCTCACTGTGGGCTCTGACTTTCTTTCTCACAGGAGAGTGATATCGATGCTGATGACCTGAGCGAGGCACTCCTGCTTATAAAGGTAGCATTTTCAAAATGAGCCATCGAGTCCATGGCTCCCTGTTTCCATATAATGATGACCTTTGTCTATAAACCATAATTAGAGAGTAAATTATTTGTGCATGTTCTAAAACTCACTGCATCTTAGTGCATGCATGTGTGGGGGAGAGGGGGAAGTGATGGAGAGAGAGCACAATGATGTACTAATATTCAGAAAATGGTTAGATGACATTTAGTCACAGCATATGCATATTTCATAGTGACACCAAAGTCACATTAACGTTGAGCTCAGCACTCTTATTTAAAGCCCTACTTTAAATTGACTACAAAAGACAATTTATTTTTATCTGACCCACTGTAAAACCAAGCTGGCCTTCTTAAACGAGGTGTTGAACCATAAATATAACACAAAGGTATTGTTTAGTTTTAAGATACTGTTATCTACAAGTATACTTCTTATGTTTATATCATAGTATACATTTTGATAAGATGAAAAATAAATGTTTGTGATTTCATTTTTTGTTATGAAGTTGATAAACTATTTTTATTTCACTGTAATTGTTTTTAAATATATATGCAAATGTATATATCAGCAATGCTTTGTTTCTAGTAGAAAAATGGAAGTGTGTGAATTCAATTAAAGTGTTTCTTGATGGATCACATTAATTCACACGGCCACATTCTGCAAATTCTTGTTGCAATTTAATCTTTTGGTTTTACTTTAGGCTCAGAAAGAACAAAAGAATGGAGACCTTTCATTTTTAGAAAAAGTGGACAACAAACTTAATAAAGATCTAGAACATTCCATGAAAGAACTTCAAGCAACTCATGCAGAAACAGTACAAGAACTTGAAAAGACAAGAAATATGCTAATTATGCAACATAAAATCAATAAAGACTATCAGGTACTGTCAGACACTAAGTCAAGACAGTGTATTTTCTGTGATACTCTCCTGATGATTGTCTTTTCAGAGAAGCTTTCGTATTACCCTCTTTTATTATCTGTTGTCGCCTTTATTAAGTATTAGTACATTCCTGTAATTCAGCCCTGTAACTAGAGTTGGGGGAAATGGTTAAAAGCTTAGGGAACCTGGTGGCAGTAACCTCACCTCTCCTAGTGTCACTGTAGTCTGCAGTGAGTCGTAGTGACCGTCCAAAAGCCCCGTCACAGCTGTCCATGTCAGCTTTCAATAGTATGGACATTTGGCTGCAAAAAAGGAAGCCACTGCCCTGTAAGCTTTGTGACAGGAGGGCACCATGATTTAGAGCTCCTGCTAGCCATCCAAAAGATGTTAAAATCATCCTGGCTTTGAAAACTCCAACTAGAAGTACTTGATTCATAACATGGTAGCCTTGAGTTCCATCTAGGAAACGTTTGAATCCTAGCATGGTGGTTTTGCAGCTCCATCTTCAAATGCTTGGCTCAACGTCGCTTTGATAGATGCAAATAGGATAATCATAAGTAGTGGACCTTGCTGCCTTTTATTTTTAGATGGAAGTTGAGGCGGTGACTCAGAAGATGGAAAATTTGCAGCAAGATTATGAACTCAAAGTGGAACAATATGTTCATCTTCTTGATATCCGGACTGCACGCATCCAGAAGCTTGAAGGTACAGTGTGCACAGTTTTATGGCAGTTGAGAATGCCGTCCAAACCCTTGCTCACAATATCTTCCTACTCTGTTTTTTTCCAAGTTTGAAGCTGGAATAAGTTACCAAATGAATATTTCATCTTATTCTCTTCTACTGAAGAATTTTTAGTAGGAATTTTCAACAATTTGCTGCTTTCAGATTCAGTATGGTGATCAAGATTTCAAAGTGGTCATAAAGTGTCACAGACTCAAGTCTCACACACCTTTATGATTTCCCCTCTAGCAGCATGTGCACCTTAGCCAGTTCGAAGTGCTTGCTCTTTATCAGATTTCACTTTGCCCATTCCCAGCACCAGCTTTTGTTCCTGATGTTTTTTCTGCCTAAACTTCTTTTCTTCCTTGACATCAAAATAATACCCTTCTGTATTTCAAAATCTAACTTGGTGCTTAGCATGCCAGGGAATGGCTCTGATTGAGTCAACCACTATCCCTTTACCTGAAATGCCCTCACAGTGATTTTCCAACTTTAGCAAATACAGACGTTATCTAAAAGAGCTCTGTGTGGCAGTACATGCGTGGAATCCCAGTTTTCTAGGGGATAAAGCGGGAGGAATACAGATTCAAAGCCAGCTTGCCCACCATGATGATTCATGGTCAGCCTGGGCTATCTAGAGGGATCCTATCTTAAGAATGTATGTAAACACAGAAGGTACCGTACTGCCTCCAGCTGTTTGTGCACTTTGTATCTCAAGTGACAATGGAAACTTTATGCACTTCCCCAGCTAGAAGCCACAACAACCCTCCGCTTCTCTGCCACTTGTTAAATTAAATGGGTTAATTTAAAATAAGGATGATTTTTCTTATTCTTAGGGTTGATCGTGTGTGTTTGTGTGTGTGTGTGCGCTCACGCACGCGCACATGCATGTGCATCGTGTATGTATGTGATGGCCTCTTCTGTGAAATCTGTATGTCCTAGGGTGGAGTCTGTGTGTGTGTATGTGATGGACCCATATCTTCTGTGAAATCTGTATGTTCTGTAGATAGAACATTATATTGTGTATTATATTGCCATTGTTTCACTGATATCTGCTATGGTATGAATGTCTGATGTGGGATTTCCTTCTATTATGAAATATTAGTTATAATTATATTTTTCCTTAGTTATAATAAAAGATAAAGTAGATATAAATATTGTAACTGTAATTCTTGCTTGATACCTGTTTTATTATATGTAACTTTACTAGGTTAGAGTGAAAACCTTCCTTTTTATTTAGACAGAAAGGGGGAGGTAATGTGGGATTTCCCTCTGTATGCTGTGAATACATTTGGTTAATAAAGAAACTTCTTTGGGCCTTTTATAGCACAGAATAGGGCAAGGCAGAAATTCCAAGCAGATAGAGGAAGAGAGAGTAGGTGGAGTCAGGGAGAAGCCATGTAGCTGCAGCAGGAGACAGACAGCAGACACCAGATGGAACATTACTGGTAGGCCACAACCATGTGGTGATACACAGATTAATAGAAATGGGTTAATTTAAGATATAAGAGCTAGCCAATAAGAAGTGTGAGCTAATAGGCCAAGCAGTGTTGTAATAATACAGTTTTTGTGTGATTATTTTGGGTCTGGGCAGCCAGGAAAAGAGCAAGTAGTCTCTGCCTACAAATATCTTCCCTAGAGTTTCTGCATTGGAAACTCAACAGCAGTGCTTCAGGTTTCCCCGTCTGTATTCTTGCTGTCCACTGTTTGTTTATGATGCCTTAGAGGCTTTGTGTTTATGGAATGAATTGTTGAGTACAGGGGACAAAAAAAAGCGTGCCAGTAAAGGCTTGCGAAGACTTGAATGAAGAATCTTCACTTAGTGACCTCCTTTTTAATCAGTAAGATTCCATGAAACAAACTTTTATTGAGTACTGCATGAAACAAAAGGTACATAGTGATCTTTGACTTCTGGAAAGTTTTGTTCAGTCAAATAAAGGCATTTAGTTAGTTCTTCTTCATAAACAAGAAGTTCTCAAAGTACCCCCAGGTTCTCAACCTAAACTGCACTGATAAAACTAGTTTTATAATATTATGTTATTTGCCTTTATCATTTTTATTCTCTTACAAGTTTATAATGGAGTTTCTGGAGGCTATATGATGTATGACATCACAATAGATTAGACCCAACTACAGATCCATATTCCATATTCTTTGCTATTAAGCCAGACCAGGAAGACATTTATAAAAATGTTTTTTTTAAATTTGAAAGGATTAAAAGAATGCCACTCTCCTTACTTTTTTGGAAATTATAACTTTGAAAAAAATAAATGCTATGATTTATTTTAGCATATAATAGGTTATTGTTGTTACATGTAAAAAGACATTTTTTCTTTTCAGTATGATCAATAACAGTAAATATAAATAGTTATCAATAGCTATCAAAAGATTTTTCAGATCCCCAATAACTTTTACGAGTATAAAGTTACTGATGAGATAGACTACTCAAGTACTGAAGACAGTGGGCATCAAAGAGACTAGTGCTTACCAGTGCAGAAACCAGCAAACTACCAGAGAGAAAGGCCTAGAGGATGAAAAGAGACATAAGAGGAGGGGGCAATGACATGGAAGTCAAGACAGAGTAATAGTTTTAAAAGGAGAGTGTTCATTACCCTGAAACAAAGAAAAGAAATAACAGAAGGTCAGACACTGCCCAGTCTAGAGCTGAACTGGCTCCTGGTGACCTTTTGAGGGGAACTTTCACAGGGGACTAAGGCAGAACTTGTGCAAAGGTGTCTTATAGGGGCATGGAGACACATTTTATTCCTTCTGGAAATGTAAGCGTAATACTAGGGGGAAGCTGGGCATTTAGAAAGATGCATAACCATGAAAAAACAGCCTTATAAAGTATAAATGATACAATTTTAACTGAGGGTTTAAAGTATAAGTTAGTTTACTTTAGGCCTGTGTGTACAGCTAGCTGTAAAACTATCACCATAATTGAGATGTAGGGCATATCCATTACCTCCCCGCAAGGAGGAGCAGACGTATCCTATTAAGCTAAAGAGATGGTATTGGGGACAAAAGAGGTCTACTCTGTAGGATACAGCAAAGCTAGAGGAGCGCATGGCATCTGAATAGTGACCTCAGCTGTCACCTGCCCTTTCTTCTTCCTCTTTCTGCTCAGGCTATCTTACAACTGAAGGTATAATTGTTTTCATTTTTATTCTTTTAATTGTAAATTGATAAATTAGAGCTGCATATATTTTGAAGTTGTAATTTTGTTGTTTAATGACTGGTGTCAACGCAAGTCTTGAGGGATTTTTGTTGTTAGTGAGCATTATTTGAAGAAAATAGCAGTACAGTTATAGACTTTAAGGTGAAGAAGATTGCTGAAAGCTGCAGACGTCCAGCTGCCTCAGAAACTAGCATGCATCTGTACATGTGGGCATGTTGACATGTCTAAACTTTGCCTTCCCTTGCAGCCCAGTTAAAGGACATCGCCTACGGCACTAAGCAGTACAAATTTAAAGCGGAAATCATGCCAGATGACTCTGTTGATGAATTTGATGAAACCATCCACCTGGAACGAGGAGAAAACCTGTTTGAAATCCACATCAATAAAGTCACCTTTTCTCCTGAAGCCCTGCAGGCGTCTGGTGACAAAGAGCCTGTTACTTTCTGTACCTATGCTTTCTATGACTTTGAACTGCAGACCACTCCCATTGTTCGAGGCCTTCACCCAGAATATAACTTCACTTCTCAGTATCTTGTCCACGTAAATGACTTATTTTTGCAGTATATTCAGAAGAGTACTGTCACTCTGGAGCTCCACCAAGCCTACAGCACAGATTACGAAACAATTGCAGCTTGTCAGTTGAGATTCCATGAGATTCTAGAAAAAAGCGGCCGAATATTTTACACAGCAAGTTTAGTTGGTAAGTACAGTTTGTGATCTTTGGATATTTGAATCACTAGGTTGGCTTATGTGTTCACTGGCATTCTTCATTTGTTTGTTTGTTTGTTTGTTTGTTTATTCATTCAATTTTCAAGACAGGGTTTCTCCGTAGCTTTTGGTTCCTGTCCTAGAACTAGCTCTTGTAGACCAGGCTGGCCTCGAACTCACAGAGATCCGCCTGCCTCTGCCTCCCGAGTGCTGGGATTAAAGGCGTGCGCCACCACCGCCCGGCTTGTATCTTTATTTTTAAAGATTTATTTTATTTTATGTATACAGTTATTCTGCATCTGTGTGTGTGTGTGTGTGTGTGTGTGTGTGTGTGTGTGTGTGTGTGTACGATATTCATGCTTGGTGTCATGGCTCCCCTGGAACTGGACTTACAGACAGTTTGAGCTGCCATGCGGGTTCTGGGAATTCAACCTGGGTCCTCTAGAGGAGCACCCACTGCTCCTAACTAATGAGCCATTTCTCCAGCCCCTAATTTGTTTCCTATCTTATACATTAAGGGCATTTTGGATGGGGACAGATCTTTGCTTACAAGTGATTGAACTATCTTTAATATCATGAATGGTGGTGCAAAATAGCTATTAATACTTATGATCTTTATAAATAGCCATTAAACTTTAGGAAGTCAAATGTTTATTTTGATATTGATACTCTTGATTAATTAAAATGTTCATTGTACTACATTCTTCAAATGTTTCTGAAGATATGTCAACACTGAGTTGTAGGAATACTAGTTAGTGGTAAATGGTAAATAAGGCAGACAACGCCTAAGCCTAGAGGAGAAGATAAGTGCACACACACATACATACATATAAATGTAATATATATATAATATAGATATATAGTATATATGTATGTATAGTAAAGGCAAGAGAACCTGCCCAGTCCACCAGCTGTAAAGCTCAATGAGCCAGAAGAGGCTTGTGGTATGTAAAGAAGAGTAACAACTAAAGTGAAAAGGCTTTGGCAGACATCAGACACTTGTCCGATACAGATTCACCACCAGCACAGATCCCTGATTGCTCTTTGGGCTGACGAGGGAGGGGGACTTGATTGGGGGAGGGGGAGGGAAAGGGGAGGCGGCGGTGGTGAAGAGACAGAAACCTTTAAGAAAGAAAGGAAGGAAGGAAGGAAGGAAGGAAGGAAGGAAGGAAGGAAGGAAGGAAGGAAGGAAGGAAGGAAGGAAGGAAGGAAGGAAGAAAGAGAAAGAAAGAAAGAAAAATAGTGGCTGATATTAAATCTTTTTCAGTATTGACAGTGATGGCCCAAGAAAAAAAGTGACGAAATAAACATAATATACTTAAATACTGTGGTAACATTCAGAAAAAGTTACAGAATTTTCTTTTTGACAATTATTTAGAATCCATATGTACCAGTCCCTTAGGAAGAAGTATTTTGAAGGGAGCTACAGTCTTTGCCCTTAAGAAACTTGTGTAGTATACATACTACACTCTTGTGAACAGACAGACTGAAGTGGTCAGTGCAGTAATAAGAACATAAGCTCTGCAATGGAAGCTTAGGGCTGTGAAATCTTCCACGGAGCAAGGTCATGGTAGAGAAGGAGAGGCTGCCTGAGTGGAGTGCACGCAGCGAGTACCATACAAGGGCACATTGACAGTGCTGTTGTTTGGCATACCTATGACCTCTTCCATATGCTTGTGGTCCAACGAAGAAGTGGAGGGATGCCAAAGATCCCTCCAAAGTTGAATCATAATATGGAATGCCATATTTATAATTGTGAGGTTGTATATTGTAAATGTCAGGCTAGATTGAGTCCAACTTGTTTAAAGAAAAATGCCACAGTATCCAGAAGAATCTATATAGTATCCGATTCACTGTTTGGATTTTTCTTTATATGCAAGATTGAAATGATAACCCGTTGAAATAGCTCAATCATAGTTTGATATGGCTCTTTAATATTTAACATGCAGTGAAACTCATATTCCAGATGTAACTTTTCTTCATCTCTGTTATTTCCCAATCAAACATTATTTGTGCAAGTCATATTATTTTACTCTGTATAAAGTTTATGCCTTTAATATATAATACCATTGGTGTATTTTACTCATGTATATTTTCATTTATGTGACTGTTTAACAGTAAGTCATGCATTGATTATCTGTAGGAACTAAAGGAGACATCCCAAATTTTGGCACAGTAGAATACTGGTTCCGATTAAGAGTTCCCATGGATCAAGCAATTCGACTTTATCGAGAGCGGGCAAAGGCATTAGGATATATAACATCAAATTTTAAGAAGCCAGAGAAAATGCAATTGGTAAGCTTGTTTGACTGTAAAACCCTTTTATAGCACAGGACTTTATACTATCTCCTTAAATCCTACACTTTAAACTGAAACTGTTTTCTTTTATAGGCATCAAATAGCTAATTTGACCTTTTATTTAAGAATAATCAGACTCTCAAGGAGAAGCAAGAACAGTAGAAAGGTGGCCTCTGTATACTTTGCCATTTTTTCCCAGTTGTAGCATCTTACACAGTTAACAGAATAATCTGGAAAGGTGGAAATCAAACTGAGAATGGGGGTACATCATTGGCATCCCAGTTCTTCAGGAGACTGGGACACAAGGATGACAGATTCAAGACAAGCCTGGGCAACTTCACAAGACCCTGAATCAAAACACAAATAATTTTTAAAGGACTAAGGATGTAGATTTATGGTATAGTACTTGTCTAGCAAGTGCACTGCCAGGCTCCTGGTTCACTACCCAGTGCTGAAAAACAAAACAAAGCAGGAAATGGAGCTTTATTAATATTAATATTATTAATTGAGCACCATACCTTAATCAGACAACATCAGTATTTGCTCACCGTCATTTGTGTGTTCATTCTGTGTATTTTTATAGCTTGTAGATACTCACTAAACCACTACCGCAAGATAGAGCTGTTCCATTGACACAAAGGAATCCCTTGTGCTTCTCAGGACAGTTTCAGAAGACACATCACGAGGCCTTCATTAATGACTTCCGCTGTTAAGGAAAACTATCCTATCACTCACTATGCTTCTTTCAAACTGGTTCCTACCATTAGATTTCTGAAATGCAAATAGAATACAAAATTAATGCTTTCTTGCTAAATGCCAGGAGTTTAAATGCAGCTCTCTATTTCCCTAACTATATTTCACCAAGGCTTCATAGCCACATTTTCAAATTAGTACCATGAACTAGTAAATGCACTGAATCAAGTTAAATAGAATTTGGAGTGGATGGCCTCTTCTATATAACATGGATATCAAAAGAACCCGTATGTGAGTGACAGGGAGAGAACATGGAGAAACATGTTGAGATGTGTATGGTCACAGTTGTCTTTCTTCTTTCCTTGAAGACTATGGTTCTGGGCCCCATACACCAGTGGCCAGGTTTATGGTCAGTGCTCCCATTTCCAATCCAGTAGTCCACCCAGTTATGATTAAGGCCTCCGTTGGACCAGGCATGTTTTGCTTTCTGAAAACAAAGTAAAATAACTCTTCATGTTTCTAACATGTAAAATTGGGAGCTGGTGACAGCCATATTCCACCATGTTAGCCAGCTAAATGAACAGAGTCTGAGGAGAAAATAGTGAGCCAGTGCTCAGAGAAACATCGAAAGCAGACAAAGTAAATTCTGGTATTTTCTCAAGTGTACGAGCTTCTAGGGACCAACCGTGTTTCTGTTGTACATTTTATGTACCTGTAATGTTATGGGAAATTGTCTTCTTTCTTACTTTTGCTGCATGTATTGCTTCTTTGACTTTAATTTAAAGGACCATGTGTAAACATAGATCCTCTCTCAAACCAAAGGGACATGACACCCACTTCCCAGAGATCACCATTCTGTAGTGTTCTTCACAGCACGCCTTAAAAGAATCTGTTAGAGATGAGAAATAGTGCGTTCTTGGTTTTCTTCTTTAATGGATTGTTTGTGGGAGGGTTAGTAGGGAGAGGAGGTACTTTACAAAGCATTCCACTGAGCTTTGCTTGGTTGAGTGCAAGCTCACCAGGGTAAGCCGAGTGGTACCTGCTCAGGCTTCCACTGCACACCAGCAGAGGTCTCCACCAGAGACATTGAGACCAGATCTCTTACACAGTCCAGGGACAGCGCTGCAGAAGGGTTCCTCTGGGCACAGTAGCGAGCTCTCCAGTGTAAACTAAAGGAAGCACTGGAACACTGGCATTCTCTGTCTCAGATCATCTCAGCTAGAAAAGATTCACCATTTCCTGAAGTGCTTTCCGACATCCGGTGTGCTCGTCAGTGTTCCCAGAGGGACTGAGAATAGTTACCACTTCTGCCCAGCGCTTTTGCTCTTTCCTCTGAAATGCCCTCACATCCAGCTTTATACCCTTTCGGGCTTATCTCAAATCACACTCTGGGTGAGCAGATGAGTCTCCTTTGATTAGGATGCTCTTCAGACCCACTACTGACTTGGCTCCTCAGCTATTAAACAGAATTAAAGAACATCACATTAACTTTTTGTCTTGGGTCTACTTGATGTGAGGACTAATTTCTACAAATATCCTTGGTCGACCATATTAGCTGCCAATACACAGGATCGTGAACTTCTACATGTGCTAGATCCTTCAACATACAGTTTTCAAGCATGTTAGTTTTGGATAAGAATCTTTTCACTGAGAAAAATAATTTTATCATAAAATATGTAGTTTTGTCCATTTACAAAATTTTGTTTGAAGGTTTGCAGCTGATAGTTATCTTTTAGTTGTATTGTTTCTATAATATAAATATGTATGTTTTTTCAGTTGAGTCAGCAAGCACCCACAACTGCTCAGATCAGTTCAACAGATTCCACTGATGGCAACTTAAATGAACTCCACATTACAGTAAGATGTTGCAGCAACCTACAGTCCCGAGCAAGCCACCTGCAGCCACACGCATATGTTGTGTACAAGTTTTTTGATTTTCCAGACCATGATACAGCCATCATTCCCAGTAGCAATGATCCGCAGTTTGATGACCATATGTGTTTCCCAGTGCCAATGAATATGGATTTGGATCGCTACCTTAAGTCAGAGTCTCTGGGGTTTTATGTGTTTGATGATAGTGATACCCAGGAGAATATTTACATAGGAAAGGTCAATGTGCCTCTGATTTCACTGGCGCATGACAGGTGTATCTCAGGTAAGAGTGTGTTCTTGATTCTATAAAACTGGAAAAGCAAACTTAAAGTATACGTTAGTGTTATATCTATGATTTATTACTAATTTTCCTGACTTTAGACAATATTTGTACTTCAGATCTGTTTATATTTTTAGTTATTTCCTTGCTTGGAATTTAAACATTTTCAGTGTTTGGGGGACTATAATATATACCTTATAGTCTACTTAAAAATGATAGTAACTTCATTACATGAGAATATAAAAAGTCTAATGTTTATTTCATTCTCCCTTCCCTCCTTGGTGTTGTTACAACCATGTATATATACATAGTACACCAGTATTTTGACATTTTTCTTGATGTATATTAATTGCACAAAATAATGGGTTATGACTTTTTCAATCATGCATATAACATGTTGTGATCCTAGTCACCTCTCTTCCCTGTTGCTGTCTTTCCTCCTTCCCCCACCCCCTTTGCCCACATACATTAAAAACAACAATTCTAATTGCTTTATGTAATATCTTGCTCCTGTAATGAAGTTAAGAGAATGAGAAACTACAGGCTCCAAAACCACAGAGAAACCCTGTCTCGAAAAAAAAAAAAAAAAAGAAAAACAAAAAGAAAGAGAAAGAGAATAAGAAACTGTAATTGTAGAGATCTTGATATTTACCTATATACTATCTGGGGTATTTATTTCTTCTTATAGAGCAGCTTCATTTCTCACTCTGATTTATGTCCTTACCACAGGGTCATTTCCTTGCTCCATGCCGCTCTGCCTCAGACCTTTATAATATATGTTGTCTTGAGTGTTATGAACCCAACAATATAATTTTATAATTATTGCTTCAAATGGTTATCTTTTAAACTAGTTAAGAGCAAAAAGAAAAGATAGTTGCCTGGTCTTTTGTGATTACGTATGTAACTGCCCTTTTGGTCCCTATCAGATGTGTGGATTTGAGTTACCATCATGTGTCTTTTTCTTTCAGCCTGAAGAAGGCTTATTTGATATGTGCTAGAAGCCATGCCTGCTGCTAGCAAATGAGTTCACTTGTTATCTTGGAATATTCTTACTTTTCTATTGAATTTTTGGAAGGCTAATACTGCTGGCTAGTAGTTGGGTTGTTGGGTTTTGGTTTTGTTTTGTTATTCTTCTAGCACATTTAGTACATCAAAGCACTGGCTATAGGCAGCCATTGTTTCTAAGGAGCCTCCTGTTGACCTTATTGAGAGTCACATATTCATGATGCTGTTCTTAAGGCTGTCTTTGAGGTTTGAATAGTTTGTGCCTACATGTGTTTCCTCTTGTGTTTCTTCCACTTGCAGTTTATTGAGCTTCTTGTACATGTAGGCTAATGTTACACGTCCGGTTTGAATAACTCTGTCACTTCTTCCGTCATTTGTTTGTCCCCTTCTCTTCTGATACGTGGGTTGATGTGCCTAATGGCACCCTTCCTTTTTCTTCCCATTCTTTATATTTGATAGTTTCACTATTCTACCGTCAAGTAGACTGTATTATTTTCTGTGTCACTCATGTCTTCTGCTGAGCCCCACTGTTGGTTGTTTTCCATTGCTGTAGTGTTTTCAGCTCCATAATTTCTGTTACTTCTTTTTATTTTCTTCTTTACCGTCCTCCACCTCCACTCCCAATACTGGGTCTCCAGAGACTCACGTAAGCCAGCACTCTACCACTTGCTGGTATTCTAACACCATTTGAGATAGAGACGGATGGATGGATGGAAGGATGGATGATAGGTCTCCTTACTGTCTCTATTTCATAGGCCATCGTCATATAATTTAATTTTTCTCATACATTTTTATTGAAAAAAATTCAATACAGTATATTCTAATCATAGTTTCCTCTCCATTGATTCCTCCAAGATCCTCCCACCTCTCTACCCACCCAACTCCATGTCCTTACTTCCTCTCTCTTTAGAAAGAAAACAGGCAGTAAGAAAGAAAAAGAGAAAAGGAAGGAAAGAAGAAACAACCCCCCCAAAACACCACAAAATCAGAAAACATAATAAATAAGCAAAACCAATATACACAAAACAAAACTGCCCAAACAAATAAATTAAAGGCAAGAAGTCTACAAAAATCTCATGGAATTTGTTTTGTGTTGGCCATCTACTGCTGGGCACAGGGCCTACCCTTACATGCAGTAAATATACCCAGTGAGACTCCATTGGAGAAATCCAACTTTTCCCTTACAAGTGGGTATCAGTTGCAGATAGCATCTAGATTAGGAGTGGGAGTGTGTGTCCACTTCCCTCTTTCAGCACCGGGATCACATCTGGCTTGAACCTATACAGGTTGTGGAAAACTGCCAATAACCTTGGCAAGAGCCCAGGGATGTTTGGGGGAATCCATGCAGACCACTTGGCCAACTATTCAACTCGATATATTTCTGGAACTAGATATTTTTTTGGTGGTGAAAGATATCTCATTGGAGCATAGTCTCCCTCTTTATTTGGTGACTCCATTTATATTTCTTTCAAATATATACATATTTTGGGAAGCTTCTAGAGAGTAGGTTTCCATATGCCCCTCAAGTAGCCATTAGGGTTAGTTTTCCATCCCTATATTTTCTTTCTTACTCTTATCATCCATCTCCCTCCCCATTTAATCCTCCCACTCAGGTCTCCGCAGTCTCAAAAACTAATGCTCTGTTTCCTTTTCCTTGAGAGATCCTAGCTTCATGCACACAAGTCCCTAACTTATACGTAACCGCTGTGGTTATAAAAGTTTTATCATGCCTATTAAAGGCTTAGAAACTAGTATACACATGAGAGAAAACATGAAATTTGTCTTTTGGGGTCTGGGTTTCCTTACTCTGGATTTTTTTAGCTCCATCCATTTACCTAAAAATTCCATAATTTTGGTTTCTTTAATAGCTGAGTAGTATTCATTGTGTAAATGTGTCACATGTTCGCTATCCATTCATCACTTGATAGACATCTAGGCTATTTCCAGTTTCTGGCTATTATGAATAGAGCAGCAATAAACATGGATGAACAAGTCTCTCTGTAGTAGGATGTAGAGTCCTTTGGGTATATGACCAAGATGATATAGCTAGATTTTGAGGAAGATCTAATCCTAGCCTCTCGAGGAACTGTCACACTGATTTCCATTGCAGTTGTACAAGTCTTCCCTTTCCCCACATCTTTGACAGCAGAAGCTGTCATGTCCTTTATTGATCTTGGTGATGCTGACTGGTATAAGATGAAATCTCAAAGTAGTTTAGATTTGCATTTCTCTGATGACTAAGGATATTGACATTTCTTTAAGTGTTTCTCAGCCATTTGTGTTTGATCCTTTGAGAACTCTCTGTTCTAGTTATGCATCCTATATTTAAATTGGGTTGTTTTCTTGGTGCCCCTTTTTTTATTTCTTCATATATTTTAGATATAAACCCTCTATTGGATGTGAAATTGGTTTCATAAAAAGCTGTTCTTTAGCCTGCCACTTTACCATAATGATGTTGTCCTTTGCCATATAGAAGTTTTGTTTCATTTCATGAGGTCATCCCATTTATTAACTTTTGTTCTTTTTTTTATATTCTTCTCTCATGCAATAGATCCAGACCACAGTCTCCACCCCCTCCCCTTCTCCTAGCCCCCCAATTCCTCTCTCTCCCAGATCTACTGCTCCTCCATCTCCCGTCAGAAAAGAGCAGGCCTGCCAGGGATATCAACCAAATAGGATATTGCAAGATCCAGTTAAAACTAAGTATAAACCATCGTACCATAGCTGGATGAAGCAATCCAGTAGGAGAAAAAGGGTCCCACGAGCAGGCAAAAGAATCAGAGATACCTCCACTCCCACTGTTAGGAGGCCCACAAAAACACCCAAGCTGAAGACAACCACAGCATGAATGCAGGAGGCTCTGGGTCTAATATCTGGTCCAGGTCTCTGTATCTGCTCCCATTACCTACTGAAGGAAGCCTCTCTGACAGTGACTGAGCTAAGCACCAATCTATGAGTATAGCAGGATATCATGTCTGGTTCTACCCTAGGTCTCTGAACCATCCAGCTTCCCAGATCCTGACCATCCAGACAGTGTCCAGCATGGGCTGCTATCATGACTTGGGACTCGGGCTAGTCGTTGCTTCTCCACTCCCACAGGCTCTGCACCAACATTAACCCAGTGCATCTTATAGGCAGGACAGGTTGTGGGTTGGATTGGTGTTTCCGTCCCACCACTGGGAGCCTAGCCTCGTTACAGAAGATGACCTGTTCAGGCTCCATATCTATTCTGCATTTCTCACTAGGGTTGGAGTCCTCACTAGGGTTACTCTCCTAGGTTTCCGGAAGTTTCTACTGCACTACGTGTCCACATCACCCCCTAAATGCCCACCTCTTCCAGTTTTCTCTCCCTGTACTCTCTTCCTCCATCCCTCCCTACCCCACCTGATCACTCCTGTTCCATACCCACCCACCTCCAGTCCACCCATAAAATCTATTCTTTTCCCCTTCTCGGGGAGATACATGTGTGCCCCACCCCGACCTCTCCTCTTCTTTGACTTCTCTAGGTCTGTGAACTGTAATTAGCTATTATCAATAGCTAATACCCACTTATAAGTAAGTACATACCAGGAGGAGGAGGAGAGAAGGTCTGCAGTTAGCCTACCTCTATCCCTGACCTATGAGGCTGGGATCATGGTATGAGCCAGGGGAAGGGAGGTAGGAGGAAAAGATCTGTGTGATCATTGGTGATGGGTCTGAAAGGAAGGGACGACTATAGTACATGTTCTGCAGCAGAGCTGGGGATAAGATGTAGGATTGGATTTAGAGGCTTAGTGGGAGAGGTGACGATTCTCAGTTAGGCTAGCTGCTTCCTTGGTGTGCGTGGCCTGTGGGTTCCCAGGCCTCTGCTGTAATTCTTAGAATAACAAGGCTTGGCTCTGGCATTGGTAAAAATGATTTTCATAATTTGCAGGAATATTTGAGTTAATGGATAATGAAAAGCATTCTGCGGGAACCATCCAAGTTATATTAAAATGGAAATTCACCTACCTTCCCCCAAGTGGATCAATAACTAATGAAGACCTAGGAAAGTTCATATGCAGAGAAGAGCCAGAGGTTGTTCAGAAACTACCTCCAACATCCTTGGGTGTTACATCAGTTGTAGTGAGTAAAGACTGCTTTCAATTTCAGTTATAGTGCTTTATATATAAACTTAATAGTCAAATAATTCCACTGAAAACTAGCTGAAGCCTCCTCTAAAATGTAACACTCAACATAGTCTGACATATTGTTTTATCTTAGGCACCAAAACCTAAACCAAGACAGCGTTTAACACTTGTGGACAAAAAGGTTTCTTTTGTGGATACCACGCCGCACCTGAGTCCTGTGAGTAACAAACACTCCAAATACCAGTCCCTTTCCTGTAGCAGACACTTGAGAGTATAGACGCGCTGTGCCTTTCTGACCTAAGAAGAGACAGTGAACCCACGTCTTTACTATGCTGCCATTTTGTGTCCTTTAGTTAGACCCTCCATGACCCCATCTGAGTCTTCTGCTCCCGTGTACAAAAGACTCTTCAAAGGAGTTGTATAAATTGTCTCCCTTCCCTCATACTGCTTCTTGATCTTACAGTCAAGTGTGAACCAGTCTAAAACTACTCTTGTAATGAATACAAAATAATATAAATTGTTTTTCCCATTAATTCAAGGAGACTTCTCCTCCTCCTCCTAAAGATATAAAAGACAATTCCCCAGAAATGGAACACACACCAAAAACAGAAAATAGCATGTCAGCTGTTACATATTCTTCCAAGGTATGCCTTTGTATTAAAATTGTTTTGAAAGGTTTATTTTGTGACTTAAAAGACTTTATCTTGTGTGTTAGACATGATTCAAGAAATCATAGCATTTTTTTCTACTTTTGAATATGACTTCCTCATGATAGAAAGATTTTTATATTGATAAATATAGCAGATATAATTGTCCATAATGGGCATGAAATATATAAGCATATAAACTAAAATCAATGTTAAAGTCATTTTAGGATTAATACATCCTTTATTATTTTGTTTAGTTTTGTTGAGACAGGATTTTATGTATGCCAGGCTAATCTCAAACTCACTATGTAGCTGTGGATGAACTTGGATTCCATATCCTCCTGCCTCTTCCTCCATGTATTGGTTGGTATTATTGATATATACTACCACACCAGCCCAACTTGCATCCTTCATTCTTAATGTATATTTAGATTTTTATTGACTTGAGTGTTTTAATCTATTTCTACAATCTAAGTGACGGTTTTCTAATGAATCTTTAATAGCTATATTGCCTAGCTCTTTGTGTTTTGTTGTTTGAGCGGTGGAGGTAGTTGCAGAGGTAGAGTGGGGGGAAGATATAGGAATGGAGGTGGTGGAGTGGTGGTGGAGGAGGAGGTGGTAGTGGTGGTGGAGGTGGAGATTGTAGAGGAGGAGGTGGTGGTGATGGTGGTGGAGGAGGAGGTGGTGTGGTTTAGTGACAGAAGCTCACTTGTAGCCCAGACTGGCTTGGAACTTACTTTTTATGCAGTCCATGCTGGCCACAAACTCACTGTGATCCTCCTGCCTCTGAGTGCTGGAACTATGGGCATAAGACACTATATCCAGTTAGATGCCTGTGTACTCAGGTCTCAAATGTACATATTTTATTATAGAGTGCTCCAATAAGAATGCTGTAAAATGTAACCCAAGCATGAGTAAGTACAGCACTGTTGGTCTCTTCTACATGTGTCTCAGGAAAGCAGTGTGGCTGAGGTAGAGGAAACCGTAGAGAGAACGCAGCAAGGAAAAGAAGATGACATCTCTTTCCTATCTGAGGGTCAGCTTGCATCGCAGAGTGCGGCTTCCTCTGAAGATGAAACAGAAATAACGGAAGAACTGGAGCCAGAAGGTGACCGCATTTAAACTGTTGTTTCCCTGACTCTGCTCTGCTTTCTTTGTGGGAGCGTGCGTGCCTTCCACAGCACACCATTCAGGGTGGATCCACCGCATGACACCCACCTCTTGGCAGAAGTGCTGGGTGAGCGCTCTTTGGCTGTCTTCTCTCTCTCCTCAGGCAGTCCTGGGCTCCTGCATAGAATATAAGGTCCTTGCTGAGCGTGTTGCCAGTCTGTGTCTTAGATGTTTTATGATCTCTTTGGGTTCAGTATTATCAATTGGATTATTCTTTAGTTTTGACTTTTTGAAATTAAAATCAGGAATTGTGAGAAAAAAAAAGACCATTTTGTTAATATAAAGTGTAATAAAAGTGAACTAATTCTGAATAGACAGGAAGCTAGTAAGTAGCCTGTGAAAGCCTGGGTGGGGGCAAAGGAGAAAGTTCCAGAGGAAACAAGAGTGCTGGCTAGATCCACTGCCTGTTTAACAACATGTATTGATTTTGCATGTGCATGTCCATTGTGTATGCTACATTGGGGGTTGGTTCTCCCCTTCCATCTGGGTCTCAGGTATCAAACTCAGGTCATCAGCCTTGGCGACAGGTGCCTCTACCCACTGAGCCATCTTCAGGCCAATGTTTGCTATTTTAGTTAGGAATTAAATGTCAAATAACTAATTTTGTAGTTTAAATAGGTGTACAGTTTATTATATATGTGTTTTTACCTCAATAGAGCTATAATTTTAAAAAAAAAGAAAGGGTAACATTGACTTCTTCACAGTATTTTGTGTAAGCCATTGGAAAATGTCCACTATGAGATGGCAGGCATGGGCTTGGCCATTGTGGAAGCCCCGGTGCCATGTTGGAGTGAGTCTGAGCCTCATTCTCCATTTACCACCCCCACGGCCTTTGTGCATCGCTTGCCCAGACACTCTAGCAAGCACCCAGTGCCTCTCAGACTTCATTACTAAACACATGAAAATTTATATGGCAACTTAAAAGAATGCGTGGAAGAGAAATGGAAGAAAGATGTTCTTTCTATAATTGATGACCCAACTGTAGGACCACAGAAATTAGTAGGATCTGACCTTGGTAGCTGGCTTAGGTCTCATGCTCAGTTGCTTGAATAGAAAAGGGCTGGCTCGCGCTGTGCAGCTACAGTTGCAGATGACCTAGTTAGCACAGTCTCATCAGTTTCCTGTTGAGGTAAAAAAGAGACAAAGCCTTGTGGACGGTGCCATCCAGAACTGTGCAGGAAGAAGTCACCACAATACACTTTCATTACAGAAGCAGAGCACCACTGCTGGGGCATAGTCCTGCTCCTGCACACTGCCCTGTGAGATTGCTGTGTGGCACAGATCTATGCAGGCTGTCAGCTGGTTAGTCAGCATGAATATACGTATCATCCTTCAAACCACAGTGACCGACGAAGGAAGGAAAAAGTGGACATTAAGGATATCCGACTTCTGTTGGTGGTATTCACAATTTCATTGATACCCTTGCAACTATAGTTAGCTAGGCTCAAAGTCTTACTCTTTAGGCTAATATACAAGTAATGGATTTCCTCATTGCATTTCCACACCTATGTGTCATGATGCCTTGCTTTCTTTCATTCTCTTCCCCTGTTCCCACCAGAGCTGGTTCCCTTTCTTCCCCCAGTTAATCATGCCTGCTTTTCTCTCTCATGTATGCATGACCACACTTTTAATTACTATGTAAACTGATATGTCCAGAAGATTGAAAGATTTGCTAATCCTCTCGCCTGTATTTTGTGAATATCCTGTAAGTACTTACTTAATGCCATCCTTGCACAAATAATATAAATTGTGATACAAGTGTGGCTTCGCTTTAGAAAGTGTTTTTACTTCAGTCTTTGCTATTTTTCCTTTTAAAATCATTCTGTGTTTTTTTTTTTAATGAAATAGAAGTCCAACTTCCCTGAGCACTCATCAGCTATTTCTACTTGGGAGTATAATAAAGTCTGAATGTTTTAAGTTTTGTTTGCTACCAGTATATATTAAAATTTGTAATATTGCTTCAAGTTTAAAATACAGTAAGCAGAATATAGGAATTTTTTAAAATAATTGGATCAGTAATGAAGTATGGTATAGTCCAGCTGTGACGAGGAAAAGAAGGGACTAGAAAGATGGCTCAGTGGGGAAAGGGGCTTACCACCAACCCTAAGAACCTGAGTTTGATTCCCTGGTCCCACATAATAGAAGGGAAGAACTGACTCACACAAGTTAGCCTCTGTCCTCCACACTTGGAGTGACCCATGAAACACACGCACACACGCAAATAAATAACTAAACGTAAGAATTTTAAGAGAAAAAAAGTATCTATTACCTTTTACATTGTTTTCATTAATTTTATGACAAGAATTATTTTTATTTCTTTTGTGTTTACCAAAATTAAACATGGTAGTTATTCATGGCACTTCTTCCTTTCCTAAAATGCACATCCATAGTGGATAAACCTGGTTGTCATGTTGTTCCTTTCTGTTGTCCTGTGACATGTGCACTAAGTCCATTGGCAAACCTGGGTAAGTGTTGCCTCATGTTTTCTGACAGATGAGGACAGAACAGCTTCTGACAGCGATGACTGTATCATCCCAGGTTCCGTCTCCAAGGAAACCAAACAGGTGAGTAGATCCATGCCAGAACAGTGTTCTAAACTAAGGCTGACTGTCATTCTCAGCATATCAGGCTTCATAAATGGAAATTTAAGGTAAAAATATTTCTGGAAAAATTTTACTTGTCTACTGCAAGATGGTTTTACTAATGCATGTATGGTTATGTATATATGTGCTCATGTTTATATGAATGCACACATGTGTGCATGTGTGTGGAGGCCAGAGATCAACACCAAGGGTCTTGCTCAGTAACTCTGTGTCTTATTTTTGAGACAGAGTCTCTTGCTGAACCTGTCGCTTTGGCCAGACTATCTGGCCAGCATGTCCACTTGGACCTGACTGTCTCCGTCTCCCTTCTGCTGGGATTATAGACTCACACTTGATTATAGAATCAAGCTCAGCTTCTCATGCTTGCATGGCAAGCACTTAACCAACTGAACCACCTCCTTGGCTCCTGCTTATACTTGTGTTAGGAAATGGACTGCAACATGTAAGCATTACTTTTTCAAAGAGTACCTGACACCAGTAACATGATCCATCTCTTGCTAAAACCATCCAGCCTCCCTGCTTCCCTTTCAGTTTCTGTGTACAAAGATGGACTAAAGCAGATCTGCGTCTCGGAGAATACAGCTGTGATAGCACTGAAACTGTAATGGCTTACCTACTTATGTACTCATAACTTTGTAGAGTGTTCAAACCTAAGTATGTTTGTTGACAAACTGCTAAAATTATTTCACTTCTGACAGAAAGACTAAAACTATTCAGAAAAAAAGATTAAACATGTCCAAGACTTGATTTTATATCACATCTCTGATATGTAGTATATAAAATGAAATATTGAAAAGAAAATTAAATTTCAAAATATACATGAGATTTTCTACATTTAAGAGCATACTTTTTATCATAGGCAGGAGGGAAAGATTTTATACATTCCATGTAAAAAATCAGCAGGCAAGTAACACACGCCTAAGTTCTCAATACGTGGAAGAGTGAGGCATGAAAAGTGCAAGCTCAAGCCGAGCTACCTGACGTACAGAAACAGGGCTGGAGGGCTGGTCCAGTGGGTAAGTAGAGTACTGTCTCAGTCCGTGGATCCCACATAGTGGAGGGAGAAAACAGACTCCTGAAAGTCGTCCTTTCCACGCACAGATACATACACATACATACATATGCACACACATACATACACACAATAAGTAAATATGTAAACAAATAAGCAGCTATGTAATCATTTTTGAAAAAAGAGACACAAGATCTGTGGGTGTGGTATAGTGGAGTACCTGTGGGTGTGGTGCAGTGGAGTACCTGTGGGTGTGGTGCAGTGGAGTACCTGTGGGTGTGGTGCAGTGGTGGAGTCCTAGCCTAGCACTCAAGGCTATGATCCCCATCACTAGAGTGAAAGTGAGGAAAGCAAGGATGGAGCAACAGAAGGAAGGGGAGAAGTATAGGTAAATAAAATGAAAAGGCTTCTCTCTTCCTCCATATTAACTTCCCTGGAACATTTTTTTTAGAATTTCAGCTTTTTTGGGGGGAAAAAAAACAGTACTTCTTTTTAACTCCTCCTTCACATATTCTAAGCTTACTGTCTCTGTAAAATAAAACCATGAGCATAACATGTTTGCTACAGTGCCTTCATGAAACAGTACATTTGTTTGTGTGCACATGTGTGAGTGCATGTAGAGGTCAAAGGCTGATGTAGGTATCTTCCTCCATCATTCTCCACCTCTCTCACTGAGCCTGGAGCTCACTGATGGACTAAACTGTATGGCCAGTGAACTGTACGGCCAAGAATATGTCTGCCTGTGTCCACCCCCCCAGTGCTCAGCCTCTGCTGTGCTGTCAGCTTTTGACATGGCTACTGGGGATCTGAACTCAGATTCTCATGATGTCTATTTTGTATGTGCTTAATAAAGAAACATCTCATCTTTCTAAAGTGTATTACTATAATTAGTATGCAATTACCACTTATACTATCTAACCTTTGGTAACCTAGTATGTGAAATGTTCATTGCTTAAAATTGATAAATGAAAGAAGGAATTTTGTATACACTTACCTGAACAGTTTTAATTATGGTGCTCAGTTAAGTTAAATTTAATATTTTTTGACTAATCAAATTGTTAATCAATTGTTAAATAATTTATCAAGCCAGCAAATGGAAATTCTTAGCTTCCCATTAGAGCTGATAATATCAATAAGGAAATAAGCTTTTTGTTTGAGGTTTGGTTTTATAACATAGAACTGACAGTAGAGGATGGATGGATGGATGGATGGATGGATGGATGGATGGATGGATGGATGATGGATGGACAGATAGATAAATGGATAGATGACAGACAGACAGACAGATAGACAGATATTTACTAAGAGATTGGATACTATAATGGAGATATGATCAACAAGCTAGTAATGCAGGAGTACAGATTGTGTATTGCCAATCTGAGTCCAAAAGCCTGAGGAGTAGGACATCCAGTGGCAATGCTTTCTGATCTTAAAGCCAGCAGGCTCAAGGACCAAGAATCTGTTTCAGGCCAAGTTTGAAATTGTGTCTCCATTGATGTCACCCCGGCACAAGGAGTTCCTTCTTTGCGTGAGTGTGTGTGTACACATGCACAGTGATCTTTGAAGTAAGGTTTCACTATGTAGCTCTGGCTGTCCTGTAGACCAGGCTGCCTCAGACTCACAAAGATTCCCCTGGCTCTGCCTTCTGAGTGCCGAGATTAAAAGTGTGTGTGCCACCCTGCCCAGCAAGGAGCTCCCTGCTATTCAGCCTTTTGGTGCCATTATCCCTTCAACTGACTGGATAGAGCCCATCCACATTAGGAAGACCAGTTTGCTTTTTGGAGCCTATCTAGAATTTACACTATCCAGAAGCACAGATACTCAGTTGTCAAGTCATAAATTATTTCACAAACATTATTGAATTGACCAAATGTCTGGGTACCACTTGGCTTAATCATGTTGGCAAATAAAATTAACCATCACACCATTTTACTAAGAACTTTCCATTTATCATGTCTGCATGTTTGATTTTTCTGTCTTATATCAGTAGTTTATTCCATAAGACAGTGTTTACTTCAGCCAGCTTTTTGAGCACATAAGTGATTTAGTCTTTGAACATAAGATTACAAGAAATGAGATATTGAATAATTTCTGGGTCTGTGAAGACAATAATACAAGAATATATTTATCTTGTCAGTTTATAAACAATATTCATTCTTCATATGGTAACCAGGAATTCATTGCCTACAGTGATAGCAAACACAGTGTTCCACTTCTGCTTTTAGGGAGCTCTATACTGATTGGAGAGACGTGCTTATGGAAAGCCAACTAGTGTTAATAACTCAGTTAGGTTGTAAATAGTATGAGTAGCTGGGTCAGTCAACACTTGAATTCCTTAGCTGATTTCTGACCTCCTTTCCCATTCTCCAGATGAGAACCTGAGACCTTGAAAGGAAGACACTGCCCAACAGCCATTTTCCTAATTAATGACGTTGATAGGAAGGATCAGTTTGGGGTGATTTTAAATAGAAATCCTAAAGGATATGTATGCTCTGAAATGGTGTGACAGCCTCCTTTCCTTACAGTCATTTGGCTGACTTCATCTGTTTGATGTACTTATTGCCAAAGACAGTCACACAAAAATGCCCATTCCCCAAAGGACGAATTCGTCACATTTAACCTCTGGACTAGGCCTGTCATCAATATCATCCTGCATCACACAGTAAAGAGAGTCTTGTAGCTGTGACAGCTCATGGACAAAAAGAAAATCATAAGCACATCTAGTTCAGGAAGAGCTACAAGAATGCACCAACTTGCAACCTTTCTGTAAGAAGGCCTTGTTTACAATGGAGTGGAGCAATAGATACTTTGGATATTGGCCTAGAGTAAACAACAGGGACAGCGTAGCAGTTAATCTTATTTTCAAAACATTACTCATCATCTTTAATTAACTTGGAATGCAGAGAAAATGGTTGTCCAAATTTTACTATCCTAAACCATCACAGCTGCACATTGGGCACTGTTTGAAAGCATTGCTTACTGTCACATTAAGAGGAACTGCTTCTTGGTATCTCATGGGCAGAGGTCAGGGCTAAAGTAAACATGCTGCAATGTTCAAGACCCACAACAAAGAGCCCTCCAAATTAATGGACCAAGCAGTCTTAATTTGCTGTCCAGAATACAATTCATGGAGAAATATTGAAGGTTCACCCCCAAGGCAGCAGTGTTAAGAACTGGGGCCTGGAGGAGGTTCGCTGGGTCATAAGGACTCCGAGATCATGAATAGGATTAGCACTCAAATAAAAAAAGAGGGGTCAGAATGAAAGGGAGCACTCCGGCTCTCCTGCCACAAGAGAACATAATGTTCCTCCTCTCTGGAGGACACAGCATCAAGGCCCCATCAGAGACAGAGAAGACACCAGACCCTGTGCAAATGGACTGGGACAGTGATGTGCACACTTCCTATTGATTATGCCAGTTTTTCTGTATGCTACTTTAGCAAATCATTTAATATGAGAAATGGAACCCTTTTAAAACTTTAATGATTACAAAAACCATAGACAACTATATATCCTTTATCTGAATCCACAAATTGTTAGCATTTTGCTGCATTTCTTTTATCCTCCAGTCTCTCAAACATATGTATGTGTGAGCATACCTAAGTGTTTGTTTATAATATAAATACATCCTTATGTATAGAACTCCTGGGAACCATTTCAGAACTGCAAAGATGGCCCTTCACCTCTAAGAACTCCACAGCAACAAGACGGCATTGGTATATAATTCTGAGAACCTAAGATAAACTCTATTTCCCCTACTGAACTCTCTTAACACAAAACATAACACTTCTGTAATCAGATATTTGTGGGTGTTCTCCCCATAAACCAAACACTTCTTCAAGAACATCAGATAAGTGACCTCTAATCTACTTCAGCTGTGGCATATATGTAAACAAAATCAGAAGCTACAAGTTACGGGAATAGTGTCCTAGGACTGAATCCCCGCTCCA